AAGTTGTATTCGGAAAGAATAAACCAGTTTTATTAAGTAAAGACTTGTGTCGTTAAAGTTTCGTCGGAACGAAGTTACGGAAAATTAATTAACAAACGGAGACGTAACAATAGCATTAATAAAACCTTATGAGCTTTATTTATGACTCATTCGTATATTTTCAAAATTTCAATTTCCGAAAAATTGACAATCTATCCCTTTTTTATTATTTTGCTTGTGAAACCAAAATCGCTGTCTTTATTTCAGCAGAAATTTTAAAACTGCGTTCTTCGTAATTTCTTGTATGTTTTGAATCTAATATGCTGGAAATATTTTACTTGAATAGTTAGGTTCAAATTAAATATCAAAATATAAATATATTCAAATTATGAAACGGATAATGTATGTTTGATATTATCATTCGTTACTGACTTGTTTGAAATTAATCATCGAGTATAAAAGCACCAATGAAATAAATAAAAGTTACTAAAAGTGATTTGCAGAATCAGTGAACGAGCCATTTAAAATGTTGGCCTAAATTATTATTAAACCACCTTTTATGTTTCTTTTTTTCTGTTCCTCATATACTTTTCACACCTGGTATACTTGTTCCTGGTCCATAACTTCTTTGAAATAAAAAAAACGGCAAAATTATTTAAATTTTAAACAAGAGTTATATATATATTTAAATGTATGTAGGAATCTTGAAATATCAAATGCTGAATTTCACAAGTGTAGTGAAGTTACTTTGAATTCTTTCAAAATACTTTTGTTTTAATTTAAAAACAGGAACAAAAAATCAAAAACTTTCTAAAACGAGAGGACGCTTTCATCGTTTTCCTTAACTTTCCAACAATGATAGTTGTGAGTAAACAGCTGAGCTTAATTTAAAATTATTTGTAATGTACTGTTTTTGTTAGCTCGTATAAGTGGGGGTATTAAAGTTTAGCATAAGGTTACAGAGGATATTTGACTAAAGTAAAGATGAAGGACGGACGGTAGGTGACATTATTATTTAATTAATTTAATGAAATAAGTAAGAATCTAAGTAAGTTATGTTAATTGTTAGTGGTAGGTGTCGTGAGTCATTTCATTAAAAAACAAAACAAATTGCCAGTGCGACTGTTACCTTACAAAAATACATCATGCAGTTAAAATTAACAATTTATGACCGAAACATAACTAATACTTAGTTTGGCTATCTGTTTTTTAAACTGCCATATTTGACTTGTTCACTTGTTGAGTTTAACTTTAAGCTATACCATCAGCATTTCTTTATTCAATACATCTAATTAATATGAAAAATTGTTTATTTAGATATTACACTTACAAGTTACACTTTTATGAAAGAACACTTTTTATCATTATAATTAATTGTTATATGTCAAATATATTGGTTTGTTTCTCTTGCAAATAATTATGGTTATACAGCTTAGAAGATACATTAAATTGAAACAATCATGAAAGTGACACCTGGAAAAGATTTGTTTTTTAAATTTAGGTTGTAAGTTACACAAACTTAAATGGCTGTTGTGAACAGTATGGTTTTAAAAATACGCCACTAGTTTTATAATTATGGGGCACCAATTGACCAAAAAGCCCTTTGAGGATGCCCTGACAAATAGATAACTAATTGTTTTGTCTTGCCCTGTTCACACAAATATTTAATAACCCTTTTCTTAAACTCCTATAAAATTGCAGTCTTTACCACTCTAGATGCCAGCTTGTTTCACAGATATACCACTAGACTAAAGATATTAAATTACTTCAACTGGAGATGTCTGATCTTTCTAAACCTTTAGTTTGTAACTTTATCGTACTGCCCCCAGAATGTAACAAGAAAAATCTGGTACACTAATCTTGTCACTTTTCTCAGTAACTTTGAAGGCTTCAATTAGATCACTCCTGACTCTTCTTCTGTCAAAAGATTAAGTTAAAATATCTCTACTTATTCTTATACAATAACTATACATCACCAGAATCATCCTAGTAGCCCTCCTCTGAACACAATCAAACTCAATGCTTTTTTTAAGTTAAGTGGACCAAAGCCACACAAAAATTAAGTATAATTAGTGACTTACAGAACGAAATCATGGTATCTTTGGACTTGGAGCTATTTGTATTACATATATATACATATTTACACAACCAAAAATTCTGTTAGCCTTATCATTTGAAACAATACACTGTCTCAAAAGCTGAAGAGTTGCATCAACTAATACCCCAATATTCTATTTTTGTCTACTTAATTAAAAGGATTCCCATCTTAATTATATGTGTAACTTGTATTACGATAAGCTTCATAATAGCCATACATTTATCATAATTAAATGCTATCTGCCACATGTTTGTCCAACTAACTAACTGATCTAACTCTCTATATAAAATTATAGCATCTTTGTTATAGCTAGCCAGTCTTCAGATTTTTATATCATCAGCATACTTAACCAATTTTCTGACTATGGTCCTATCAGTGTTATTTATGTAAATGAGAAATATGAATTTTCCTCGGATAGATCCTTGAGGTACACCACATGTAGCTTTATTCCATTTAGACTGAACTCAACTAATCTTTTTGTTTTCGGCTATGCAGTCAACCTTCAATCTGTTAAGCTAATTTATCCCTTCTGTTATTGAGGTAATTTTTTTCGCCAATCTTTTATCTGACACATTTTGTGAAAAATCAAAATAAAAGAATCATTAATTGCAAGGTAACACTTCTAATAAATTGTTTGATTCATATAAAAACAATGCTTCTAAAGTTGAAAATAATTTTGATATGATTACATTTTGTCACAGTAAGGAGATGTGCCAGATCAATTGCATTCAGTACTATTTATACTTTTCATTTTTGTGAATGTATTTATGTGTTGATTTTAATTAAATTTTATACAAATATATTCTTTCATGACCTTTTATAGTAAAAAAAATGAGGATTATTATGATTTAGGTTTTTAAAAAATTATATCAAGCAGGATCTTGATATGATAAGGACCTCCAGAAAAAGCTGAGTCATTTTAGGTAATCTAAAATTATATTTTAAAAACCATCACTCATAAATTTGAACTCACAAACAGGTCTGTAGCAACTGAAAAGCAAAAGGTATTGCAGACATCTCACTATGTTTAGGATTGTATGTGTATGTGTAGTTATCAAACTTTGCAAAATTGTTTATACCTTTTTTTTTTCAAGAAACTTTTGAAAAACATTTTCATGCTCATTTGATGAACGCCAAAATATAAACTATACAAACATTGTTATTACTGCATTGGTAAAATATAGAAATTAATTATCTTGGAACCTTATGTTATGAAAAATGTAACTCCAGATACTTCATTGCTACAGTTTTCACTTTCAACAGGGTCCTTCTTTTTTTAACATATCATAATGTTTAGAGACAACAAAGGAGCTATTGGTGCATCCTGGCTGTCCCATCTTCAAAAGTAAACTAAAACTATCAGATAAAGTAAAAATATTATAGCCAGCTTTTGTCTTGGAAATTTTTTGTGCTTTATTAACATAAAGAAAAAATTCAAGCTTTCAGTCTTTTTGTATCAATGTTGTATACAGAATATTGAGAAATTTGAAATCTCTCTTCTTTTATTTATGCACAGAAATCAATTCTAATAACATGAGAGCAAAGTGTCAGAATGCTAGTTAGCCCATAAAAGTCAGTAATCAACTTTGTCAACCAGTCTTTAAAAAGAAAAGAAAAAAAGTGAAATGAAAATCTATCATTTTATGTAAGTGAACCTTTAAAGATTTCAAAGATTGAGCACACACGCATACACATCACTCCATAATATACTGTAAATCATAAATAAACTAGTAACTTCAAACTTTGGAAAAAAACTTGTAAATTTTTACTAGTAATACACTGTGTCCCAAATTAAATAAAGATTTAATTTTTGAGACTGACCATGTGGTTTTGATGTTGCACTAATACAGAACACTGATAGCTCAAATGTTCAGCCAATACATCTGACTGAAGTATTCAAACTATAAAGGACATAAGGCTTTTCTCACCATTAATGCAGCAGTTCATATACAAAAATCAATCAGCTTAATTCTTCTGAAAAGTTCAAGGAGGAAATATAGTCTCACTACTGTGATTATGTTCATAGTTACAGGTCAATATTACTAATTCAAAGGTTGTATATATACATGCATACAGTGAATGAAAGGGCTTGGGGAGGGGGGGCTAAGGGATGAATTTTAAAAATTTGTGTGAAAACATATATTCCAGGAAAAGTGTTATATAGATATATAATATAAGTGTTATATAACTCTTATCTCAAATGCTTTAAAACAGTGAGAAATACATGTATTTTTGTTCATTATTTATTCAATAACCATTATAATATTGTGATATATTTACAACTTTGTTACAATCTTTAAACTGTGAGTACTATTTTATTTGGGAAACAAATCCAACCTTTGCATATAAATGTTAATACAGACATAAGTAATGACTTTTTGTTTTGCATATTACTATAGTTTTATGGTAGAGCTCAATTAATTTTTATTTATTTTCAGTAAATTATTTTTATAGAAATATTCACATATTATGTAAAAGAAGAAAAATCCTGTAATTTTCCTGTCAGAAGTAGAGGCTGTCTCAGAGTAATCATATAAAAATGGTTTTAATATCACTTAGGATTGGTTTAGAAAAAAAACTTTTGTTCTAGAACTCCTATCTATTATATTATTATGTTTAAAAATTTCCATAAGATATAGAGATATAGGTATATCTAAACTATATATTATTTATTAAAAATTAATAAATTGATGTAAATGTATAAATAACTTTAAACAATAAGGCAAAAATACAAAAATAACTCAGTATATTAATTAATAACTTTTAAAACTATAAGTATTTTAATCTATAATATAAATACTATTTTCTTAGCAACTATAATATATAATACTTAGAAATCAGTGGGTTGAAATTGAGCCTTCCCCCTAAACAAAAAATCCTGATTGCTCATCTGTGCATGTGTGTAACATATTAGATAAAGAAGAAAAAATGACAAAAAGACCATTTGGTCCTTCAAGGTCGTTTGCCACTTAGAAAAGCAATCAAAACGTCAAATGAAATTTAATATATTACATTATGCAGAAATTTAATAAAAGTTTAAAAGCATGGCCTTTCAGAAATTTATAACTAATCTGAGAACAAATTATTGAAGAACAAGTTTGCATCTAGACTTCCTATTACTTCTGAGTTCTAATATTAAAGTTCGTAGTTCCTGTTGTTTCATTCCACCACTCAATCAACCTATAGGAAAGATATCCAAACCCTTAATATTTTGATAACCAGAACCAAGCAAACTTTTACCAAACGTTCCTTTGTCAACATTGTTTATTAAAAAACAAGGTTCCACAAGTACTGTTACTGAAGTTGTAGCTGTTTTTGAGAACAGAATTATTTCAGTATCACATTTTGTTTATTCTAAGGAAAATAAGTTTAAGCACCAAAGTCTGATTGTTAGTTTTTGACAGCAGAAATTAAATAGCCATATTCTCTTTTTCTAGAATACAGAGAACAAGGTACTATATATATGTTTCCCATTATATGCAAACAAATGAAACCTTTCAAGACTTTGTGTACAGGTTTTATTATGTCCAAAACATGAAAAACAAGTTTTCAGCATTCAAAACGTTTTACAGTTGTCATACAGCGTAATATTAATACGTACAATCCACACACACGTATACCGTGAACTGGTTTATTAGCGGGCATTCTTCAAATTACCCTGAACAAGAATTAATGTTGATTTAATTGTTCGTTCAGGTTTAGGCATGAAGGTGTTAATAAATTGAAATTTAATATCTAGAGGTTTTGAGTCCTTTTTACTTCACTATACAGTTACCTAAATTAATTTAGGTATGTGAATAACGTTATGACATTTCGTACAATTCCTTATTTGATATTATACAGCGCACCAACAGTTTAATGATTATTAATATATTGTTACGTCTCCGTTTGTTAATTAAC